GGGTGGGAGCAAAGGAAAACAGACTATCAGAGGAAAATGTTGATTCTGGCCACCAATAGCCCCTTGATGCAGTGCCAGGTAGACCTATCTTGGCCATCTGTGTTTGTTCATTGCAAAAGGTTAAAAGCCTCCTCAACTTGCTTAACAAAGAGGGCCATTCACTGGTTTAGGTCACTGAGCAGTTCAAAGGGTCATCAGCCCCAGGTAAGGCTGGATCCAACTGTCCCAATGTTAGTATCAAATAATTACTCTCTATTCTCCTTCAGGTATGCTTTGTCTTGTGTTGGCTTCCTAGTTAATCAAAGTCAGATAATCAAGTTTCAATTCCTCTCCTTGTTGAAAGGATGGAGAAGGCGCCCTAATCAGCCTGGCTCATATGTTCATGTTTGAGGTGAAGCCATAGGTAGTATTTTAAACTCTTACCGCTGCTGTAACAAAATACCTGAGACTGAGGAATTCATTGGAAAGGAACGATGTTCCTCATAGCTGTGGATGCTGAAAGGTCAAGAACAAGGTGAGAACAGTTTGAATGTGTGCCAAACCTAGACACTGTTTCCAAGATGGTGCCCTGTTGATGGGCACTTCGAAAGGGACGAATGCTCTTTTCTCACAGGCTAGAAGACAGAAGTGGGAAAAGGACCAGAAGTGGTGCCTCCAGTCTTCTCACAGGGCATTCCTCCATCTCTGAGAGCTGTGCCATACAACTTGCCCACTTCCCAAATGGCCCTTCTGTAGCTTTGGCTGCCTAGGAAGACTAAACTTCTTTCAATATGCACAAGAGACGCGTTTAAGCTACAGCGAGGAAAGAGAGGCAACCTCTGAGACTAAAGAAGCGATCTGTCTCCAGAATAAAAGGAAAAGTAGATCGGGTTAGCAAGCAATAAAACATATACTTCCAATCGGATGTGACAGAGACTCAATGCATGAATGAGGAGGCATGGGCAATCAGGGGAACGAGAAGTCATTCTACAGGGAGGACAAAAACTATCACGTAGAGTCTAACAGAGGCGGGAACCTGGAATCAGTTTCAAGTGCATTTGACAGCCAGGGTTGTAATAAAAGCTCTCACCCTTCTTATGTTAAGGCAGGGAAGGGTATTGTTAAGGCACAAAGAGCATTAAGCATAACATATTGGTAAATTTAAGTACATTATAATTAAATTCTGCTGATATAAAAATTACTTAAAGAAAATTAAGTCAGCTGTGCACTGAACTATGTGTGTGTGTGCAGCAAATAGTCAGCACATAAAATGTCAAAATACTTAAAATACTTGGAATTTAACTACAATGTGACCAAAAAAAAAAGGCCAAAGAAACAGCAGGTAAAAGAATACAAAAATGTGTCACAAGTAAAAAACACTCAAAATGAGAAAACTTTTAAAATGGTCAGTTTCATCGGTCATCAGGAAAATACAAACCAAGGTCTAGTTCAATTTGCTGATCATACGTAGCACATAAGCATATGTGTCTGTTATATGTAATTCAGGGGACAGCTTATTAAACGCCAAACAACCTCAAGCGTTGGCAAGGATGTGCAACAAAGAGAACACATGTGCACAGCTGGTAGGATGGGAGCTGGTGGAGCGACTGCAAATACCTGAATGGTGGTCCCCATTTCATCGTAGTAGGTATGGAAACGTAGCCTCCAAGGTGACGGCATTAGAAGAAAGGGCTTTAGGGACTTGTTGGGAAATGAGGGCAACTCTGCATAGATGGAGTTCATGTCTTTAATGAGATATGTCAGAAAGGTAAGCCCTTCCACCATGTGAGAATATAGGAAAAACAAACAAACAAACAAACAAAAAAGCTACCTATGAAGGTGTTCATTGCACTGCTCAACAATGGCCTTATGGCATGCGCTCAGCAGTCTAGCTCATACAACTCTAAGCTCTAGAGCCTAGTTTTCCATTCCATTCCCATAGGGACGGATGCATGTGTGCAAATGATATGTTATACATTTCAGATGTGCATAAGTTATAGAACAAATTTTGTTATATAGTTGTATATATTGTAAATATATATAGCAGACACTAAGGTAAGAAAGATAAATTTTCAGGTTTTGGAGTTTCCACCACACCAATGATGTTTAAACTCTAGGAAGAATTTCAAATGAAGACCAGGAGCCAAGACATGAGTCTTGTGGTCACCAGTATTTAGTGACTGTAATGATTTCAGCCACATAAGGCTGATGCTTCCGGGTTCTAGGGGCCATGCATGTGCAGACAAGCCCGCAGGCAGAAGTGCCTAATGGCCCCCGGGGATATTAAAGGGCCCCTGCATGACCCATGTGCAGCATGGATTACATCATCCATATATGACTTAGCTAAGCCCTTGTGCACATGCATGAGCCCCGTCATCTGCGTATGATGTAGCCATGTCAACCCCCTGTGTGCATGTACTAGGCAGCTTTTAAAACATGGATACATCATCTTCCTCTCTCTCTCTCTCTCCCTCTCTCTCTCTCTCTCTCTCTCTCTCTCTCTCTCTCTCTCTCTCTCTTTTTCTCTCTCTCTCTGCACACTGACTTCCCCAGGCCTGTACATGCCCCCTCTAATAAACTCCGAAGTGGATTTGTTGCGTCTTCCGTGTTTCCTTCTCACTCGCGCCAGGTGATTTCAGAGGCAACAGAAGAAAGAGAGACAATGGAGGATAATTGGCTAGGGAGGAAGAAGGAAGAAAAGGACAGCAACTTGGAAGCTAAGGAAGCAAAGTCCATAAAGGTAACCATGACAACAGCATCGCAGACGATGAGTTCAGAAGAATAACTGCTGGATTTGACAAGCCCAAGACCACTGGTGACTGTGAATAAAGACGGGTCTGTGGAATTGTCCCCACTACCCCCTTGATCCACGATTCTCTTCTGTGACCCGAGTGACATATCCGTCCTACTGTCCCTCATGAGCTGTCCCTCACACCACCATCATGGCCAACACAGGACTTGGCCATACCATTTTCCCACCTAGTTCTGTTGATGCTACACTTCTGATGACAAGATTCTTCTAAGTCAAGTCCCAGTTTTCTCCCATATTCCCCAGGATTCCTACCACTCCGGTTCATCTCTTGTTTCTCAAACCATGGGGCTATCAACTCCAAGTCCTGGGTCATTTTCTTCTTCTCCCCAATAAGCAACTTTTCTGAGGTTTCTGTTATGCACATTGCTGGTATCTTCTTAAACTGTACTGTTTCTCTTCAGGTTCTGCTCACTTGGCAGAGAGGGTTTAGGGTACCATCTAAGATACTGGAGAATCCCCTTCCAATACTATTTCTACCCCTGGTAAAGTTCGAGTGTATCCCTCAAGAATCATGTGCTGGGAATTTCATCCCAAATGTGTTGGAGGTAGTTCCAGCTGAGAAATGTGTAGGTTCCCAGGGCCCCAAATTCCTGCATGAACCGATACCATGATCTCACATGTGGGATTATTATCCAAACTCACTCCGTCTCTTTCAAGAGTGTGCTCTTCTCAGTACAAAGCCTCGCTCCAGCCCCTGGTGCCATGTTCTCAGGCTTTCCAGCCTCCAGAGTTTTCTTTACAAAGCTTCTTTACAAATTACTCTATCTCCTACTCATCGATCAATGCTGCTCTCGACCTTGGTCAGAGAAGTTTCTCTTGGCAGTGGGCAACAGTAAACATAGAGACTGAATCATAAAGTCAGAGCGTTCAGAATAAGTGGCCGTTGATTATCCAGTCTTAAATGATACATCTTTATCAACCCCCACAAAGCTTAGGGTAGGACTTAGAAGAGAGAGAGAGAGCAAAGAATGTAGGGGCTGAAGGTTAGGGAGAAGTGTTGTAAAATGTTTTCTGGACATGACATGGTCACTGTCATCTTGAGGTCACCGCAGTTATGGTTACCTGCACAAACCAACTCCATAAGTTCAGTCAGTGTTCCAGTGACCACTAACTGAACTCAGTAGGTTTAAAAAGGGGGGACATGAATAGGAAGATATGTTATAGGGTTTCCAGTGGGCATGAGAGGAAGAAGTTGGGGTAAATATGATCAAGATACACTGTATACATATATGAAATTGTCAAATAATGAATAAAAAATATTCTAAATAAATAGATGTATTACCTGGTTTCAGGTATTCTGTTATAGGAGGTAATCATCAAAATATTCAATGAATTAAGTAAAACCTGCTGCTGCTCTTGGCCGCAGACTCCCAGTCTCTGAAATCAAAAAGTTCTGCAGACAGGATTTTGAGGATCCTTCTATCTGGGATCTTCTGTTCCAAGGGACATTGATAAAGAGTTAAAGAATAGACTGGTCTACTGACAAACTTGCAGGAAGACAAGCCATTGTTCTTTTAGTTTGAAACTAACGAGGCCTTCAGGGGAAGGGAGTGGGCCTCTTAGATGGACCTGCACTGCTGGGTGGTTTCCATATCAAGGGAGGGTCCGGAATGTGATGGAGCAGGTCTCTCTCCAGCTGTCAGGTAAGCTTGGCTAGGATCCAAGACTGGCTAATAGCTCCACACTGCCTTCCAGCAAGGCCAGTTCTGAGTTTCAAATATTTCTCTGGGTCACCAAGACTCCAGGGACTAAAAAGAGGAGCTTATTTGGAACCCATGATAGACATTCCTCATTTTGAAATGCCTGGTGATGACCGGTTTTATTTTTATACCCACCATTTCCTTGCAAAGAAATTAAACAAATAAACAGATGCCACCCTCACTCCCTCATCTCTTTTTTTGGCTTGGGTCCTGCGACAATACAGCGCGTTCTGCACCATCTGCTGGCTCTGCAAAGGTAATTAACAAATGCACACCATTCCCAGACGAGGCTGGTTTGTAAGGACAATCATGCCAGCAAAGCTGAGTGGCGCAGAGCGAGTCAGTGGCAGACCTGGTAGGCGGCTGCAGTTCCAACCTCCACTGAAACGCGTGGTAGAGACGCCTGCCCAACTGTAGCTCCTAAAAATGAATGGGAATGGATCCAACCAAGAAAACACCCCAGAGAGAAGTAAGGAGAATTACAAAATAACTAGGTTTTTTTTCCACGCTTATGGTAACTTTTTCATTTATTGTGCTTTATTTTTTTTAAAACAAGGAAAAGTAAAAATATCCTTCAGTGAAAAGTTCAAAGTAAATTGCTGGGAACACCGAATGTTGGGTCAGAGGTAGGTTCTCTGACCTTGAACTTGTCCTCCAGACGCTGCGAGCCTCATTCTCACACCTGTGACTTGGTAACAATGGGAACACCAAACCTTCAGGGTAAATGAAATCGAGAATTTGGGTCTGGAATTGGGTCCAGTGTCCGGAGAGTAGTAGCAGGCCGATCAAGAGTGTTCCTTGCTATTGTTAGCGTCTTCTCTATCAGGTGAGCAGCCCTGACAGATGGTCTAATCCGCTCTTAGCAGCAGGGAATTAATAAGCCTTCTAGCAAAAGCCACAGACTAAAAAGGACAGAAGCACCATGATTAAAATGAGAGAACTCGGGGTTTCACGTTAACAAAGAGAAATCAGCCACCACCCCACCCAGGCATGTTTTAGGCAGAAGACACAGTTATTGCCTCAATGTATTCAAAATATAGAAAGAGCACCAGAAGCTAGTAGTCTTTCCGTCTAATGGAAGGGTTGGACTGGAAGGTGTGTGTTGGAGTTTCAAGTGAACGAGGGCCAAAGACAGTTGCAATGCAGTTGAAGTAAAATTTACACAATTGGAGAATCTGATGCCCGACGTGCCTTATCTGGCACAATTCCAGTTAGGCAGAACCAACTATAAGGCAGTTTTCAGCATCCTTACAGAGGTCCTTAGGGGACACTGCAACAATTCTGATGATAGTGGTAGCTTGCTTCTTTGTTCTCTTAGGCTCTGACTGGCAGAACTCACAGAACTCAGCTGTTGGTGGCCCAGTAAGAATGTCCTGATAATGGTGTTTTGTGGAAGACCTGGGCTGCTCAGGGCACAGGCCAGGAGTGTGTGGTTTGGTTTCGTTCAATGGTGTATGGTTGTTCATGATGTGTGTGGCATGCAAGCGAAGGCCAGATATGAGCCTTCAGTCTTCAGGTGAGCTCCAGGCTGTTTTCTCGGCCCAGTCTCTCACTGAGACCTGGGGTTCCTCAATCAGGTGGTGAGGTCTTGAAAATGTGCATGACCTCTTCAAAAAAAAGGGGGGGGGAAGGCAAAAGAGAGAGATTGGAGAAATAGCTCAGCAGTTAAGCACACCCGCTGCTTTGCCAGGGACCTGACACTGGTCCCAGCAGCCACACTACCATAACTTCAGCTCTGGAGAGACCAGGTGCCTCTTCAAAAGCACCTGCACCTGCCTGCGCATACCCTGCAACATACACACTTAAAATAAATTTTTTTTAAAATAATAAGTAAATGTCAGTGTGCAGAAGGATGTGTGAATCATTGCCTGATGAGCTACTAGCCAGAAGCCCACTAGCAGAAATAAAAGATACCACCTTGCCTGGTATATTTAGAGACCGTTTCTCCCATTTCTACAGACTTTAATATTGACATTCCCCTCGGTGACATGTGGGAATCTTGGGTACTGTGAACTATATGCATTCAATTCTTCCCCTAAAATTGAGCTCAGATGACCCCAGTACTAACCATATGGCTAAAACATTTCACCCTTTGACCCATCTCGTGTCAGCGGTACTTTGATGTCACAAGTCACCAAGTCCTCTTCCTGATAACGTAGCTACAGTTACAGGAGACGGTAGTACAGATAGGCTTCTAATGGCTCTGAGGAGCTTTCTGTAGGAGGAGCACAGATTCCAAGGCATGAGTAGGAATTTCCCTTGATCCGTGAGAGAACAGAACCTCAATTCAGAGACCCAAGGAAGACGTTATCTATGATCTTGTTTTTTCGGTTGGAAGGATAGGTAAGGCAGGGGAATCAGGGATGTGACTAAGAACATTTTCTCTGCTGGCCATGAAAAGAATGGCCATGGGTTAGGAAGTAACAAGTCAGATGCAGGAGCCCAGGATGCTGGCTGCTCACAAAGTCACCGTGACAAATGAGAGACCTTGGCATGGAGTCCGCCCTGGTGGACAGGTGTCTCTGGGAGGAGTGGGTACTGAGCTAACATTGAGGTTACTTATCAGAGGAGGGGCTTTGTGGTTGGAGGCTGCAGGGAGAATTCTGACTGTGCCACACCAGTGACGAGGTGGCCTTGGGTACATTTTCCTCCGACAGGATTGTTCTAAAGATCAATAAAAATAACAAGGGTAAGAGAAGCCAGCATTTGCATGTAGAAAGTGCTTCCGTAGAAGGATTCAGGGTAGGCATCCGAGTTGCCTGTAATCATCTTAGTTCATGTCTGGAATTGCTGTCTGGAAATGAGAAAGGCCAGGGTAAAACTGACTCCGCATACCCGGTGCCTACTTTACTATCCCACTCGTGTTTCCCCAATTAACCTTAATTACTATTTTTAATTTTGTTTACTTTGGGGTAGGGAGAGAAGGAAGAAGTTTATTGAGATGGCCAATAGGAAGGCCTGGGGAGTGATCACAGGCTGCTCACACACAGGTGCTGATTCCGTCTATCCAGTTCGTGCAAGTTTTCCTGAGCTGTCACCGCTTTGCGGAAGGAAACGGAAGTTCTGAGAGACCAGGGAACTGTGCAAGGCTCAGCTTCAGGAAAACCCTTTCAAACTTCAGGACAAAACCTCTTGGGATGGGAGCACCTAGCCCAATAGTAGTTGGTAGCCCAGAGCAGCAGTGTAGCGCAGGGCGCTCTCTCAGAGGCGTGTCCACCTTCTCAGTACTGTTCTTGTACTGAGATTTGCCACCCAGTACTACCCAGCGGCTGTTTTCACAGAACCCGGACACCAATATTTGAGCTGGGAATCCTATAAACACCATCAGTGGACAAAAGACAAAATATATTTCCAATGACCACAGACAACAGACAGGCTAGTGCCAATCCTTCTTGCTCATCTCTACTCCCCTCATAATGGAACCTTGTTGAGCCTTTAACTATCAGACTCAAGAAGAACCAGGACACAATCTGAACCTTTCCACACCCCTTCCATACTGACTCCAAAAGGAATATTCTAGTATTTGTGGGAGAAAGCCCTTATTCCTCAGCCTACACTGAATTTCCCAAGCCCATGTCCTTTTCTCTCTATCTCTGTAAGTCACCTTCCATATTCATCCTATGTCTGGTTGCACAGTTTAATGACCCTAAACCTTTTTGCTCCTGAGCCTTTGTCCGTGATAGACTGATAGATAGATCAAGTAAATTTGTGTTTGAAAGTAAGCTCTGTAGTGGGGCAGTGGTGCTCACGCCTTTAACCCCAACACTCGGGAGGCAGAGGTAGGCAGATCTCTATGAGCTTGAAGCCAGCCTGGTCTACAGAGCTAGTTCCAGAACAGTCTACACAGAGAAAGCCTGTCTCAAGGAACACAAAAAGAAAATTACAAACAATAAATAAATAAGCCCTGTGTTTTATTGGCAGCATGACCTTTGTCAGCTTTGTCTAAGTTCTGTGAGCCGTGATCTATTCAACTTGACATGCGCAATAGTAATTTCTTCCTTGCAGACTTCTGCTGAACGTTCAGTGAAAAAGCATATTCAATGAAAATTCACATTCAGTGGAAAAGCCCACCTCATGGTTGAACCTTTAGAGGTGGGTTGAACCTTATATTGAACCTTCCTTTCTAGTGGTAGGAAGTTAGATCATAGCTGCTATGCCCTCAAAGTGAAGGCAAACCCTGGCCCCCTTTTCCTTCCCCTCTTTGCTTCTTGACTGCCAAGAGTGAGAAGTTTCCCCTTCCGTGTGCTCCTACTATTGTGTTGCTCCAAAAGCAATGGAGCCAACAAATTGTGAACCAAAATCCCCAAAAATGTTGTCAAAAGAAACAACTCTTGCTTTTAAATTGATTATCTCAGATATTGCTCTATGGCAGTGGAAGGATCACACACAGAGTGTTTGGTTTTATCTTCTCCAAACTGCCAACGTCAGTCAGAGCCAGCTGCTTCCACGTCCCTCACCATTAGGCGTCACCTCCCTCTGTACTACTTCTGCCTCTTAGAAACAAGATAATTGCTGAGTCACTAAGCATTGTCTACAGGCCCAGCACAACACACATGGAAAATCTCATCTGATGTGTACCACAGACTTATGAAGGAACCTTGTTCTCTACATTGTGTATTCTTAGAGATGAAGGCTAGAAATGACCCCCACAGAGTCAATCACCTATGTGGGGAAGTGTGGGTTTTCAGCTTTGCTGATAGAAGATCTATATTGTGGTATGTGAAATGTCTCCTTTCTGACATGACATTTTTGTGAAATAGCATTGTGCTGGCTAATTTCTTTTGTTTGTTTCTTTGTTTTGTTTCCTTCATACAAGTTAAAGCAACTGGGAAAAGGAAACCTCAGTTGGGAGAATGCCTCCGTCAGACTGACCTTTAGGCAAGGCTGGGGGGAATTTATTAATTAATGACTGCCGAGGGATTGCCCTGGGAGAGGTATCACCCCTGGGCAAGGAGACCCGGGTTGTATAAGAAATCAGGCTGAGCAAGCCATGAAGAGCAAGCCATGAGGAACAAGCCAGTGAGTTACACTCCTCCATAGTCTCTGCTTTATTTCCTGTCTTCGGGTTCCTACCTTGAGTTCTTGACCTAGTTTTCCTTAATAAGGGGCTCTAAGGCAAAAGAAATAAACCCTTCCCCCTTAAGTTGCTTTTGGAGATTGTTTTATCACAGCAATAGAAAAGCCGACTAGGACTATCATAGACTGCCTTATACTACATATTCAACATGACGAGTACTCTAAGACCCTTATTACAGACCTGCATTGTGCACAGGCAAGGGTTTGTCCTATAGACTGTTGATAGAAAGGGATACGTGCAAAGAAGCCTGCTGAGAGTTCAAGCAAGCACAATTCACCTTCATGAGGACAGAAGTCAGAGACAACTTAGTGAAAGAAGCGGTCATGTGTATTCCTTTGCAAAATTTAACTTTTTTAAATCATGTCTTGTTGGGGGAAGATTGTTAGTTTGCTTCCAGCTGCTCAGCCCCAAAATAATCACTCAGAAACTACATTATTTAAATCACTGCTTGGCCAATCACTTAAGTGTATTGCTAGCTAGCTCTTATATTTTTGGTTAATCACCACATAGCTGTGGCTTACCGGCAAGGTTCTGGCATGTTTGTTCCTGGAGGAGGCTACGTGGCTTCTCACTGACTCTGTCCTACTCTCTCTCTCTCTCTCTCTCTCTCTCTCTATATATATATATATATATATATCTTCTAGCCTGGGTATATTCTGTTAAGCCATTGGCCAAAACCTGCTTCTTTATTAACCAATAAAAGCAGAACATATGCAGAAGGACTTCCCACAGCAGTGTTTTTCTTTTCAACTTCTCTTGGCCTTCTCTTTCTATCCTTTGTGAGGGAAAAGTGCTCAAGAAAGCCCAGTAAATAAATGGGCAGGAGGAGATGTTGAGCATAGCAGCATGAGGAAATTTGAAAGAGAAGTGGGGAGGGGGAGAAAGGAGAGGGAAAGGCAGAGAATATGAACTCAAGAGAAGTCTCAAACTGTGACTGATGAACCGAAAGGTCTCAACTTGGGTGATCAGCATCACAGCAGCAGGCTGAAGAGGAGGACAGGCAGGCGCGCGCAAGCTCTGCTGCAGCCCCTTCTGGGACTTGAACACAGAGAGGACGAGCAGGAGGATGAGAGAAAGGCTGAAAACAAAGAGAGGAAAACACCCAGCAGTCTTCCTGGGTCAGCTGTGCGTGGGAGGGCAGGTGCAGGATGGAAGAGGAAGACATCTCGTGCCACCTGGTCTTCTGGCAAGGATGTGACCTGCCAACCACTCTAGAATCAGACTTCCCAAGCCCAAGTGCCCTCCCAGACATATGAGCACCATTAGCAAGACAACCCATTCTGCTAGCCAGGACCCCTTGCTTTGCCTCTCTTCCCACCCTTTACGTCGTAGGGGCTCCGTATGTCCTTTATGTTCCTGCTCACTTACTATTCCTCACTATTTCTAGGGGCTTACAATCCTGAACCCAGCCACAATCTCCTGTGCCCCTGCACTTCATTTTAGTGGTGGCCTCAACTGAATGTGAAACATTCAATCCTGAACTACACACACAGCCTTTTCCTCTCACCCACGATGGCCTCACTATTCCCTTGATTCCTAGCAAGAATCAATTCTCAGAGAATTTTCCCCTGGTGTGTCTTGTTAGCCTCTCCTGGCACCAGAGGGCTTCAGGCCTGGGAGGGCAGAGGGCCTTCTCCGGGTGAGGTAGGTGTGCTCAGTGTCAACAACAACAACAACGCTCAGTTTCAATCCCAGATCAGGCGCTGATGTCAGGGGAATTGTCAAGAGTGCCAATTCTCCCAGCCCTAAGCTCTGTCCTCCCAGGAGTTTGGTTCAGATTTGAGGGTGCTGTACACACCACCTTACGCTAACCAGAACCGGAAGGATGACATCTGTGGCGTGTGGAAAAGGCCCAGCTAGGTTTTATTTGCTTGGGAACAACAGGGAAGGTGCTCAGCTCTAGAGGCTCCAGGCCCTTCCAGGCAAACAAGCCAATATAAAGCAGACAGGCTCTTCCAGTTAAAGAAGTAAAGGCTCTCCCGGGCTGCACCCTTCCCTGTAAGTTCTAAGGTTACCACCTCCCTAGTTCTCAGAATCTTGCTAGGAACAGGAGGCCCTTGTGCTGCTGTGATATGTGAGGAGGATCAAAGAGGCTGATGGCTCCTGTGAGGTCACCAGGAAAAAAGGTGTCAGGTCCCTCCCTATACTAAGCTACTGGGTTCACATCTCCGAGGCTGTTCCTTTGTGGTCTCATCCCCACCTACGAAAGATGCATGAACCCGGGCAGCAACTAATTGTGCAGTACCTGCTGCATAGGCCAAGGGCTGCCAAAAGCTTGCTTAAGGGAAAGTCTGCATGAGGTCCGTAGCCTGGACCAAGAAGACAGGTAACATTTGAGTAGGGAGGGAGTCGGGGCCTGGGCAGAGTATATTGCTACCAACTGTCTCACTAGGGCCACCTTTTAAGTCTCCACCTGCAATAGCCCATGCAAAATATGCTTGCAGGGGTACCTTACCAGCCAGAATGCAAGTAGCTGCTTTCTTTCCCAAAGTATTTTGCAGGGCTTGGTGCTGTGTGCCTTTAATCCCAGGACTTGGGACGCAAAGGCAGGTCTGTGTAAGTTTCAGGTCAGCCTCGTTTACACACCAAGTTTCAGGTCATCAGGGCTACATAGGAGATCCTGTCCCCACAAAAATTATTACATTTATTTATTACGGAGCAGGGCAAGCATGTGGAGGTCAGGATAACTTTCAGGAATCTTTTCTCTCTTCCTACTATGTCGAGGCCAGTATTGAACTCAGAGTCTCAGACTTGGCAGCAAGTGCCTTCAACCACTGAACCATCTCACTGGCCCCACCTACCTGTTTTCTACCTCCTTGGTTCAGCATGTAGCTGCATGCACTCAGCCTGTCCTTTTCTCCCATGTCCACTGAAGCAGGAAAATTCCACTCAAGTCCCTTCTCCTCCAGGAAGGCCTAATAGATTTCTGTAGACAGAAGTAACAATTTCATGTCTCCAGTAAAAGTGGCGTTATATTTTTGTGGGACACACACACACACACACACACGATATATTAAATGTGTTTGTAAATATGTAGAAATGGGTAAGAGATAGAAGAAATGATAGATACAAACACGCATGCATATGTTCATACATACATATATATATATAAATATATACCCATAAATACATACAATCTCCTTGAATTCTTAAAGCAACTCTACAGCATGACCTCCAAGCTTCCTGAACAAAAACTCAGGGTTCAGCTTCTAAAGACAGTCTGAGACTCAGATTCGGGTCTTCTGTCTCCTTCCTGTGAAAGTGTCTTGTGTTATAATGCCTGTGACATCTGACTCGTTTACCTAACCACTTCCCCTTCTATCAGGCCCCGACTCTGCAGAGGAAATCCAAGGCACATCTGTTGAATAGAATTGATTTGAAGAGGGCTGGCAATTAGAAGGCTTTCGAGACCGCTCTCTCAGGCGAGGGGACAAGGTGCTCTGGAATAAAAGATGAATTAGGTAAGCAGGAGCCAATTAGCAGAGGATGCTACAGCCTATGATAAGGAGTTTTAATTTGATAGGAGACAATTGGGAACCATTCATCCTGGAGCTGGAGAAAAGCAGTGACAAGCCCCTAACGACACTCAAGGGTCTTGGAAACCTTTAATTGCTGCCTCCAATCCTATTTCTGAGTAGAAGTGATATTGACAATAAGCTCGCATGGCCATATGCCCCAGGCTGTCATGACCACAGCAAGGTCACTAGAGCACTGTGTGCTTCCCTTGTACACACAGCTGGAGCGCTACAGAGGAGTAGGCCTCTTTCCCTGGTGTCCCTGAACCCAGGATGGGGCCTTCTGTGTCTTCTCCCCAATGCCTTCCATGGCTCCAGGAGTCTAAGGACAGGGCAAGCAGCCACCACTGCCACTTCTGGCCCATCTGCATCTCCTGCCTCTCAGCCCATTCCATTTGCTAACTAATCCTTGTCCCCCACAGCTTCCAGAATCTCAATTCTAGAGACAGGTGGCTTTAGCTGCTTCTCTTTCACAACTTCGATGGCAAGTGGGTCTGTCCGGGAGGAGAGGCAGCTGTCAAATTCTGCTGATAAAGAAATTATGGTTGTTCTGGTTGGGGGGGGGGTTGGGTGGATTTTAAGCTCGGGGGTCCCTCTGTTTCTTTCATCTGCGACAAGAGATGATGCCGTCCTGTACCTGGGCCTGGCCTTGCATAGCCAATGAGAACCATCATTGGAGCTCCGACTGCTCAGGACAATAGGCCCTTTCTGGCCAGAGAATGCAGCTCAGTGTTGTATTGTTTGGGGCTGAAGGCATACAAACAATCCCATTTCCACCAGCCCCACAATGGTACTTGCTACTTAGATACTGGGGCTGAGAGAAGCCAAAATCTGGGATCCCCTACCCGAAATGTGAGAAAACAAAACAAAAGCAAAGCAAAGCAAACAAACAAAACAAAACAAAAAGCCAAGTCTGACAGAGAAAAGCCAGCTGAGGTGTGACTGGCCTGTGGGGGCTGGGCTCCGAAATGGCACCAGGTGCATTAATTACACTTGATTGCATGTTGGTTTATGGCTGCGGTCACTAGTGTGCTGCATTCAGGCCCTGCAGCAGCTGGTCTGAAAGATAGCCTTGGTATTTCGTTAAGCAAGATGAATATTGGCCAGATGGTGACTTCACGAGGACATGATTCACGTAGCAGTTTTCCTGCCCCAACACAGGTTTCTCTGAAGGAATCTCGAATGACACACCGAACAAAACCGAACAAGAAAACTCAAAAGGTCCCAAGAAGGCTCAGCCGTAAGTTGAAGATTAATGGTCTCCATGGTGTCGCTGACAGGAGCCCAAATGACGGCGGGAGACCTGGCTGCACACTGCAGATCTTGCCAGCCCATCTCCCTGCAATTCTTCATTGCAGAATGAACTGACATCACCCTCGGAGTCTCAGATTCCCTGGGGGGGGGGGGGGGTTGCTCTGAGTCCCGAAATGACATGCCACAGGAAACTGGGTCACTTCTTTTTTTAAATTAATTTTGTATCGTGCCAGTCTTTGTCAACACCTGCTTTCTCTGTAATTTGATTGTGATGATGAGCGAGGTAAGAAATATGCACTGGGCTTCCGCAGCTCAGTCTGCTTCTCATTGGTAGGAGGAGGGAAAAAAGGCTCTGGAAACTCTTAAGATGCTACACCAAGGAACCCCAGTTAAAAAAAACAAAACAAAACAAAAAAAAAAAAACAGGGCACCAGCTGGGCAAGCAAATTGGCTCAGCTCTGGGATGTCTTAGGGAAGTTCTTGTTCCTTAGGCATCATAGGTGTCTGACCCACATGGAGTTAAAGGGGGAAAAAAAGGAAAAGAAAAAAGTGGGCGTTATGTACTTGAAAGTGGTATTTTCAATGAGGTAAGCCTTTCTGGAATTTGTGAAATGTCTGTGTCCTACACAGTGGAGTTCTAAACCACAAAATAAGGCAACAGAGACTGAAGGTCCTTTCTGCTACAAGACAGGGTCAGTCTGAGACAGTTGGGAAGCAAGTATAGCCTCTGTTAAGTACAACGTCTGGGCCCCACTCACCGCTCATACCGTCAAGCCAGCCCAGTCGAATGACATTGAATTGTGAGGCTGTTGTTGTTCGATTTGAAAAGATAAATAACAACAGCACCAGTGGAGGCTGTGACTTCCACCCAACTGTGTGTGTGACTCATTACCAAAACCAACCCTATCTGTCACTGCCACCTCCAGAGAACTAGCCCTGGTGCTGCCCTCTGTCCCCCTGGCCAACCACACAGGTTAAATAGGAAGAAGGAAGAACCAGCTCTAAGGCCTTCAGCGCTGAATGGCAGGGCACTTTGAAAACTGTGAACACAGAGCCAGCAAATTGCTTGGAGAAGGCAGCAGTGATTTCCATCAGTTTGCAGAGCTGGGAAGGCGAGGCACGGAGGCCCAGAATCCCAACCATGGGGCCATCCTTATAAAGACACCACCCAAGCCCTCCTAGGCGGCTGCCTCCCACTCAGGACTGCTGATGTGAGTCCATGGCAAAAAGCCCAGTGACAGCAGCCCCTCCTTCCCTGGCACGCTCTGGCAAGCCAGGTTTTGGCAAATGGCCCACCCTCTCTATAATGCAACCTCTATTGTTTTATCAGAAGCTTTTTTTGATCCTCCCCCCCCACCGCCTCCCCCACAAAAAAAAACCAAATAAAAAGACAGCACCGACTCTAACTTTCCTCTGTTCCAGAACTGGCTCCTCCTTTTGGAACTCAGTCACACCAGCCAGGGGAGGTTGGCAGGGTGACTCAGCAGTAAAAAGGAGGAAAAAAAAAACCCTCACTACTCAGAGACCCCGCCCACCCTCCTGCCAGCTGTGGCTGGCCAGAAAAGGAAGCTATGTGAGGCAAACAGAAAAGGGTACAGCTTAGGTCACCTGGGTGCACTGTGTCCTTTGTCTAAAGGGACTTCTGACAGGGACTGCCTATGTTGATGTTTCAGCTGGTAGACTAGGCTAAGCTGGACTAGAAGAGGCAGCAAAGCACACACACACACACACACAAACACATTCCACACTCACCCAGAACCCAGCTATGAGCATTGTCCCACATTCTGCAGCACACACACACACACACACACACACACACACACACACATACACACACACACCACACAGACCCCATATCTCAGACACTCCTTGTGTAGTGCTGTTCCTTCCACTTGGCACCCTTCTAGTTTTCGTGACAAACTATACGACAAAATCAACTTATCTTCTAAGCAGGTGGACACAGCAGCAGTTCTGACCCACTGTCTGTAGGTGAACCTCTGATTCTCTGATTATCTGCTCTGCTGCTCTGCAGAGTTCAGAGATAAGGCTAGCATCATAGAGTTCTTTAGCCTAGCTGCTCTCCTCTGACCCCTGACTCCTTCATTGTCTAGCATCCGTCTTCCCTACCTGTGACGCTACTACCTCCTTAGTGCTTGTCTATCACCCACATTCTGTCTTCCCAACCATCCCTATCTTGCATGTGATTCTCTAGTAGCAAATACTGCCCGAAGGACCACACTCCTCTTGCTTAGCTTCGCTGCATACTATACTTTCTTGATTGCCCAGAAATCAAGTATAGAAATACTATACTTTCTTGATTGATACCTCTCTTCTTCTGGTTCTTCATTGGCAACTGCCCCAACAGATCTTGCCACTTCCAGGAATCCATCCTTCCCACTCTTTAGTCAGTCGAAGCTTCTAGAATATCAGGTGTATATATATATGGTGGTTTTCGACAGCAAAGAACTTGCTAAGGCAGTTTGCATCTTCTTCATGGGCACCATTCCTGATATCTGGTCAGTGTTCAATGCATGCTGGTTTTATCACACAAATGCAGGATGACTCCATCAATATAATTAGAGTTCAGTGTCACATCTCGACAAGTAAATGGAGGGCATCTGTAGCTGCTGAAAGTATTTTGTTTTGTTTTAAATTCTCTGCCTTCCTAGAATAACATTCCCTGGCCCTGTGGATTGAAAAAAGAAATGTCATTTCTAATTGAAAATTCAATTGTAGAGTGAATACCCTCAGAACAGAGTTTATTCAAGTATGCTTACCAACACATCAGAGGTGGTGGCTACTTTATCAGTCTGGGTATCTGAGTAATAAATGGAACCCAGCCATGAACATACAACAGAACAGGAAATCAATTTTTGTTGTTTTGAAGACCCTCTATTTCTTCCCAGCATAACTTATCTAAAATAATCTTTGATAGATCTGCTGTTAATCACAAAAATTAGTATTTTAAGCATGAGCAAGAGTAGCCTATCAGGAAACTGAATGCATGTCCACACTGGTAATAATTACCAAAGTTTATTTTATTTTAATCTTACCTATTTATTTTTATTTTGATTGCACGTATATCTATGTACCATACAAGTGCCTTGGGTCAACAGAGGCCAGAAAGGATGTTGGATGCCATGGAACTGTAATTATAGACGGCTATGAACTGCCATATGGGTGCTAAGTATTGAAACTTGGTCCTCTAGAAGAGCAGCCAATGTTTCTAATTACTGAACCGTCTTCCCAGACTCAAGGACTACCAAGGTTTAAACACAGTTTAGAAGCATTCTTGTGTACACTCTGTATATTTTAATCAGTATATTTTGCATTAGATCATATTCGGTCCTTTTACTTCTTTTGTTCTTCACTACATTTCAGATCAGACACAGGAGAATTATTCTCCACTTCATTGATTATGGAGAAAACTCTAATCCAAAGAAGTTCTTACCTTTCCAAGGTCAAAGCAAGAACATGCATCAGGGCTCAGTAGTTGATTTTTCTCAATTCCAGCTTAGACCAAAGCTCCAGATACCCATTTTTTTTTACATCTTATTGACCTATGAAGTAAAATTGCAATTAATCTGTGGGGAAATTTCAAGTTATTTGTACAGGGCTTTAGTATGTTGTTTGAAACCCAACAATAAGTTATTTTGCTGTAATTTTTTTTACTATAATTGTTGTATTTCTAATAGAAAGCATCTGGGAATTCTTCAAATGGTTACTACAATGATGGGTTTCTGGTGGAAGACCAGAGACAGTGAGGAGTAACATGGGAGGGTGATGGCTTCTAATCTGACTTCTAGTTGTTCTTTGTCTAGAATTCTCATGCCTAGATCCCATTTCTTGGTGTCATAGGAATCTGTGCTCAACGCCATAATCCTAGAAGTACTGCCTAGAGCCCAAGGGTTTAAAAAATATATATCACCCTAATGCAGGTGACAGTGGAAGATGGGGGACCTTGGTAACAGTGATTGCTCCCCAGCAATCATTTCTTGGTTCCTTTTGGCACTGGGGTGTCTGTAGCCCTCTCGTGATTTCTTCTAATCATGGTGGCCTCTTCTCTCCACTTTCTTTTCCAGAATATAATTGTGCTGTCAGGACACTTGTTATTCTGCATCACTGATAGTCTGCCTGGGGACACAACCCAAGACACTTTGGCTGGCATCACAGCTCCACTTCTCTAGGATGGCAGTTTGAAATGACTTGTTCCACGAACACAATTTGTCAACATCATCTCTTGGGCACAAAGGAGTTTTTGTTACAATAATGATAATAACAGCAATAACAATAAATATAATAAGTCTCTTCTTAGC